GTAGCATGTATCTTGCGGAATTGAATTAGAGCACTCGAGCTGGCTTGAGTACCATAGTTATAAAAAGAAAGAGGAAAAAAGAAGTAAAGCATTTTGCTTAGGCTGCTGTCATTATTCAACACTCTTGTAGATAATTGCTATGTTCAAGATTCTTAATTAATTCGATAAATGAACACGATATTATTGATTATAAGTAAGAGTTTTTTTTATTTTTTTTTTAACAGGAGCAAGTGATGGAAGAGAGTTGAGTAGTAGGCATTCATATTCATCGGCTCCGTTGACTCCTCGTAGTCAGAGTGAAATTCTGGAATTGTCGAATCTGAATAGCTTTAGTTTCAATGAACTCCGAGTAGCCACGAGGAACTTCCGTCCAGATAGTGTGTTGGGAGAAGGTGGTTTTGGTTGTGTATTTAAGGGTTGGATAGACGAGAATACGTTTAAAGCTGCAAGGCCAGGGACTGGATTGGTTATAGCTGTAAAGAGATTGAACCAAGAAGGCTTTCAAGGTCACAAGGAATGGCTGGTATATATACTCTTCCCTTTAAAATTTTCGATGATCGTTAATATTAAAGACATATCGAAATTGTTAAAGATAGATCATTTTTCTGTAATGTAGTTAGCTGATCATGTTTCCTATAATTCTTGATGTTGATAAGTTGATTAATTGTTTGCTCGGTAAACTTTAACTTCAGGCGGAAATCACTTACCTGAGCCAGTTATCTCATCCTAATCTCGTGAAGTTGATCGGATATTGCTTAGAAGATGAACACAGGCTTCTGGTGTACGAATTCATGCCGAGAGGAAGTTTGGAAAATCATCTATTCAGAAGTAAGTATAGCTCATCTAAAACCATAAAATTCCGTATTTGAGGCAGGGGTGGATCCACTGTATGATATGTGGATTCATGGGAACCCGATTACTTTTTTCTAAACCATGTATAAGAATAAGAAATCTACTAAATATCTGTAAGTATTTTACTGTGAACTTAGTTCGTTATAGGAACCCATAAACTTCAAATCTTGAATCCGCATCTGATTTGAGGACATCCAGGAATATCGTCCATGTAATGTCATGACTTAACCTTTGGTACATTTTGAACAGGGAGTACTTATTTCCAACCGCTATCATGGAATCTCCGGATGAAGGTTGCTCTCGAGGCAGCTAAGGGACTGACATATCTCCACAGCCCAGAAGCTAAAGTTATATATCGGGATTTCAAATCATCTAACATTTTGCTTGATGCTGTATGTGAAAACACCTTTAGAATTTAGTCTTTTAAAGGTTTAAGAATGTTTCTGTAGTCTTCTTACAATCTTTCCATGCCATGAATTGACAGAATTACAATGCAAAGCTTTCTGATTTTGGATTGGCAAAGGATGGGCCAATCGATGGTAAAAGCCATGTATCTACTAGAGTAATGGGTACCTTTGGTTATGCTGCTCCCGAGTATATGGCCACAGGTAATATACAATTTCAATTTATTCCTAATTGTTGTTATGCTTTACTTAAGTTGAGGGTCTATCGGAAACAACCTCTCTACCTTCATGTATGTTGTATTTTCAATTTACTCCTTCAACTGTTTCTGTCCAGAAATGGCCCTATTCACCCACATTTGTTTTCGTCTGAACGTTTGGCATATATATATATATATATTTCGGTTCTGTTTCTCTTAAGAGTTATCTCCTCTATTTAGTTCTTGATAGTTGTCTATTTGTCTAATTTGCAAGTCTTTCATACTCGAGAATATCAATACTATGTGTTTTGAAAGAAATCGGAAGTGTAATGCTATTTGGTTTGCTCTGTTATATATCCCTATTCAACAAAAATCTAATCCCCTCGAGTTTATTGCTGTTCTTTATCCCTTATTTAATCATTTTCGTCTTTCTGTTTAAATGTTTCGGCCTTGAAACTTCCCCTTTCTGCTCTGATATCCTGGAGTAAATTTTTTCTCAGCTTCTGATTGTCACCTCACATGCGTAGGTCATATAACCGCTAGAAGTGACGTATACAGTTTCGGGGTTGTTCTTCTAGAAATGCTGACAGGCCGTCGAGTGATGGACAAAAACCGCCCCCATGGGGAACATAATCTGATCGAATGGGCTAAGCCTTTCCTTACTAGTAAACGTAAAGTCCTCCGTATTATGGATCACCGTATAGAAGGTCAGTACTCAGTGGAAGGAGCACTGAAAGCAGCACTTCTTGCAGTCAAATGCCTGGCATTAGAACCCAAATTCAGGCCCAAAATGCCCGAGGTCGTAAAGGCATTGGAGCAACTTCAGAACTTAAACGAATCAGGAAGTCTCAAACGCGAAACTACACAAAGGAAGCATCACAGAACCTCTACCGATGAAGCTTCAGGAAGAAAAACTACGTCTTATCCGAGGCCAGCTGCTTCTCCCCTTGTTACATGAATGGAGAATGAATGACAACATCTTTAACCATATACACACTACCTGAACCGATAGGAAACGATGAGACGACTTACTTGGTGAGCATATATCTATATCTGTTGATAGAGCACGAAGAGTAATTGATCAAATTTGCGGACATTTCTATGAGAAGAAATGCTTATGATACTAGACTGAATCTGGGAATCTAGGAACTATATTGTAAATTTGTATCAATTATCTTAGCAATCTACAGTTCTTATTTTGATCTAGATGGAAATTTAACATTGATGTTTTCCTCACATCCATGCTAAATTGACTGTTGTTGATCATCTTTTGAGAGCCAAAGATGTGAAGAAAAGGACTTTTTAACATTTTTGTACTGCTTTTTGAGAATCTTATACATGTCTGATAGAATTTAAATGGAGTAACATGGTCGGTGAGAATTCATACAACTAACCCAAACATGTTTGAGACTGACGTGTAGTTGTTTGTGAATCTTATAGTTGGTCTGACATGATTTTGAGAAAAGTAAAGGAAAGAACTACAACTTACCTCTGTCTAGTATTTATACCAACCCGATGAATACATGATACGTGTTTTCATATACATTCTTATTACTAAAATTATAATTTATTAATACACATCAAATAATTGGGATATTGTTTAAATCTCACCAGAGACAACATTATGTAGTTTTTTTCCCTCACGTGTCAGTTTTGATAGACAGAGTCATCCATTATTGATGATGGTAATTGGTAGATATCTAGAAGATTTAATTAAGGCGCACACAAACACCGTTCATGATTATAAAAAAAAAAGAAGAAAAAGAACTGGAAAGCTGTTATGCTAAATACAGTGAATATGGCAAAGTTTGGTATTAAAACTTTCATTTCGAATATTAGCAGACTTTGTCTGTTACATTAGTTGTCATAATTTTGGTTGTACTCTCTATATCCCAATTTTATATTATACTTTGTGATTTGTGATGCTATACACTATAATTATTATTTGACAACAATTTTTCATGCTATTAATATTCCGTTTCATATTAGTTGATCATCTTATTAAAATAGTTGTTCATTTTATAAATTAAGAAAACATTAATTAAATTTTTCCTATATTATCCTTTTGGAAATATTCATATTTGTTTGTAAAATTTTCAAGAAGTTTTTAAGGGGTGAATTAGTAAAATTATTTTTTATTTATGATTTCTTAATATGCATATAAAAAGAAAATTGATCAACTAATATGAGACAGAGGAATTACGAGTTTCACAAGTTTTATAATCCAATTTTGTTTAGTATTGTTCAATATATTTCAAAAAATCAAATAGTATTAAATATACTAGTCAAACAAATGTACTAAATTTCATATCTAATCAATATGCAAAACCCAAATGCAAGATAATGTGAATCCAATCTATTTCAAGCCGCTTCTATGATTGTTCGAATAATAATATTATATTTAGGTTGGGTACAATTTAAGCAACATGATTTGTGGATAGGCACACATCATCAATTTGGATCTTAGTGTAAACTAAAAAGAACTTAATAATTAGGGGAAATTGCATGAATAAGTAAATTTATATTAGTAAATTAGTTAATAATTATAGTTTGAATTAATAATCATTCACCACTAGTTTCTTGGCAAAATTACACAGCCAAGTTTGAGTTGTATAAACATGTAATTTTCGGATTTTGTATAATTAATTTTAATAACTTTTGTATAATGTAATTTGATAATATAATTTGCATAATTATTTAACGTTCAAATGTTTGTGTTTGTATAAATTCAAATTTTATCATATTTATATGATTCCGAAATTTGTATAATATAATCAGTATAACAGTTGTTACTACTCCATTTATACAACTATAGAGATTAGAGGGAAATAGCTACAAACACTTTTTCCACCAAAATTACCATTATCAATCGAAAATAATTTAAACAAAAATAAATACAAATCAATTGATAGTAACCAGTTTATACAAATACGGACGAAAATAGCTTAATTACTCAAATACACGCGAATTATACAAACGAGGTCGCCCATAACATCTTAAACTATTGCTACAACCCGTAAATATGCAAACTATAACTAATGAGCTTAATTAAATTTATTATAATGGCTATTTACGAAATTTCCTCTAATAATGATGTAAAAAGGGATAGAGAATAGATAAATTACAATTATTTATTGAGTTTTGAATCATAATATCATGACTTTAATAAATTTCAACTATATAAGTACAATAACTCTATTCAACAACACTAAATTGTAAAATCTTTTAGCTACTTCAATTACAAAGTCTTGATAATGGTTATATTTCAATCAGAGGTGTAAAAATTGTTTATATTTGAAATTTATACTTGGTTCGATAATCTATTCTTGACCATATTTTTACTTTTGCGTTCATTTCATATTCTTTGTATATACTTTCAGTTTATTTTATTTACCCAACTTTATTAAGAAAAAACTAAATTGTTTATTTTCGTACAAAATAATTATTCATTTTGCTTTTTGACCAAACTACGACGTCGTTTGAGCAGGCTGCAGATAAACAATAATTTTAACATTCCATATGATTTTTGGGGTTTAAGAGAGGTTTTTTCAAGCTGAAGAAACTCACAGAAGCAAAATGTTGGGGCGAAGATTTATCTCCTTCTTGCGTCGCACTCCATCTGCGTAAGATTATTTTTAAAAAAAATTTTGATACCATTTTTGCATCATAGTTAAAATTTCCTTTTTATATATATATGGAAGAAATAGAGTCGACTTATATACAAAAATTATTAAAATTTTGTGGGGAAATTGTAGTTTGATGAATTATTTAGTGTTGGGATCAAATGGGTTTTTGTAGAATGAAATGAGTATAGAGGATTTATAGAGTTTATCCCAATTGATTTGGTGTTGAGGTGTTAGTTGAATGTGGAGGGGGATCCAAGATTTGAACTTATGGGTTTGGATTGATGCTACTGAATCCAACTGACCATTTGCGTTACTGGGTTCGAAATTTAATATTTGTACATAGTTAATATGTTTCTTAACATATATACAGAATCTGAAGTAAACTAGAGCTACTGTGTTTGGTTGATTTGATAGTGTATATTGTGCATCTTCCCTTGTTGACTGATTGATTGATTGACATGATGTAGTTCGGGAAAAGTGGAATGGGTAGAGAGGATTCATATAGTCTGTCCCAACTGGTTTGGTGTTGAGGTGTTAGTTGATTGCAGAGGCAGATCCAAGATTTGAACTTTATGGGTTCGGGATGATGCTACTGAATCTAACTGACCATTTGAGTTTCTGGGTTCGTATACAATATTTTTATATACTTAATAGGTTTCTAAACTAGAGCTATTGTGTTTGGTTGAATCTATTCTCTATAATGTATATTGTGCATCCACTCTTGGTTGATTGATTGATTGATTGATTGATATGATGTAGTTCGGGAAAAGTGGTGGCGGAGGAAGGGAAGGCAAAGACATGGGGGAGAAGGATAGTGTCAGGGACCTTGATTTGCTTAACTGGAGGTGTTGCTCTAAGTGCTCTTGATGATCTCTCCATATATCATAGCTGTAGCAGGTTTGCTTTTTTCGCTACCTGTTATCCCTGTGATTTTGATAATATGGGAGGAGTGACTGTTTGGGAAGGCTCCTGCTTTTTTGATTCAGATTGACCTTGAGAACGCCAAATGAATATTCAAACTTGTTTTTTAGGATGTGATTTATGATACTTCTATAATATGATATTGCGCTTAAAGGCTCTTCAAGTTGGAATTTATTTTCTCTAGGTGTATTTTGTCTGCTCTGATTGGCAAGATAGTGGTAAAATCATTATTTTCACTAGAAATTAGGAATTCCCTGTAAGTGTTATTCGAGGGAAGAGTTATGAAGTTAAGAATTAATTTGATCCTGTAATTCCATTCAAAATAGACCTTGCCCCAATGATTTAGTTTAAATTGCGGAGGCAGTACATAGCGCGATGTGTGGTAGGGGCATGTCAGTAGTTAGAATCCCGGCCTGTGAACCAAGTCTGGTATTTTAATTGGAGATGGGTAGAGGGACGACCCATTATCCACCGAGTTTCATAGGTGAAAAGTGCGAAATTAAAGGTAATCTTTTTGAGATGACACTCTCCTAGAATTTTCCTCTTTTCAGCTTTGAAATTCGGTGGATAATGGGTCTTCACTCTACCCTTCTCCAATTAAATACCAAACTTGATCTTATTAATAATTGTATTTTGAATAGATCTTATCTTCACATTCAGATTGCGCAAAGAACCTTGACTCTAGTAAGTTGAGCTTTTCTATGATATAGTTTAATTGCTAGCTAATGTGATGGTTAAAAGTCCAAGTACTTTTGAGATGCTCTCGACCCTCTACCGCAATCTGTCTCAGAGGGCACATTTTGTTGCTCCAAAATTTGTTTTCCTTTCTCCCTACCTCTTGGTGCTGCTTGATCTAGGTTAAAACAAAGGGGTGTACCTCTCCAAAATGTCACTCAAATCCGGTAGACCTGAAAATATGTTGCTACTAGTTTTAGATACAATAGGGACTGCCGGAGTCAGTGATGGTGGTGATGCATTTTGAGTTTGTGGGGGCTGATGTTCCAAAAACAACAACACACCAAAGGATTCCCACAAGCAGGTTCTGGGGAAGGTAGGATATACACATACCTTAACCCCTACCTTTGCAGGGTAGAGGGACTGTTTCCGATAGACCCTCAGAGATTGATTTTCCATTTTGAGAAATCAGATGAATCTACAAATTGCAATTAGTAAAATTCACATGGTTCCTTGCATCCGCAGTATGCATTCATTCCAGTGGTATCAAAGGCGAAAAGCGCAAAAAAGCTCTAAGGTCCGTGGGGGCTTTAAACGCAAATAAAGCGTGGGATTTAATGAAAAAAGGCGCAAAGGGAGAAAAGAATACAAATATATATGATTAGTCCAAGACTAATAATTATAAACATGAACGACAAATATGACCAAAGAAATTGAAGAAAAATTATGATAAAGTGAACTATCAATTGTTTAGTTTCACTTCTTCATAAGAGGCTCATTGGCAAGGAAACGTTTTCCCTAGAACCTTGATGACGACACTGAAGCGCACATAAAGTGAGGCGAAGCGCTCAACACATTTTGAGCCTCGCTTTAGGGCTTAAGCACGCTTTTGATAACACTGATTCATTCCTTTCTCAAAGCTAAGAAGTCCCCAAATGAATGGCAGTATAGTAGATTGCTTCCCGCATTTTAATGTGTTCAATTCTGTCCAATTTTTTTCATCAGCCTACCGTCCATTCCCTCAAAGATTTCATTCATTTTGGCTTTAATATTTCAATCATTGTATCAAAAAGTTCCACAATGTACCTCACTGTTCCTGGATGCACAAATGCTTGTCCTCTGTTCCTTTATAGTAGACCTGCTTCTCCGATTTCCTTCCTTGGACCATCCGCTTCCACCAGTGTCTTCGAAAGAGTTCTGTTGATTATCTTTTTTTACATTGTCGGTGGAATCATTGGTCCGGGTAGTTTCCAGCATTCAAAATCAACATTGTTATTGTTGATGGAAACCACATTTTCTTCTAATTTTTGGCTCAAAATGATAACCCCTGATATTCACATTAATCTAATTACCCACATTTAGAAGTTTCTTTGGGTTGATGACATGAACCAAGGAAATTTTGTTAGTATGATTCTAGACATATTGTTATTTGGGACCAATCTAGTACTAACAAAATTTAGAGTTGGTCGAGCCTTGCACCACATATTTGTACCCTTAATTCTACCTTTTAGCTAGTTTGCACCAAATGGGCAGTCTTTTTTCCATTAAATCCAGATTTGGAATTTTGAGAAATGCTAAAGTTACCTCATCATCGACTTCAGAAGGGTGTAGAGTTCATTGATTGTTGCTGATGAGTAGTCGATAATGTTGCCCATTATAGTATATACATTGGTGTTCTCATCTAGGTTATTATAAAACTCGACTAAATCCCCATAAAAGTTAGCTCCTTGCAAACTCCTCCCATCTCTAATGGTTGATGAAGGCATTTTCTATGTCGTCTTCAGGGTCAAAATCCATTCCTTTTTCCTCAACTGGGGTTTTACTAGGGTGAGACCATGTGTCACTAGGATGAAGTTGACTTAGATGAGGTAGAGTTTTGTGCCATGGTAAAGGAGAGTAGAAGATTGTACGCGAGCAAACAGAACACTGATTGGAGATATGTTGATTTCGGTGGAGAATAGAGAATTTTGCTGATGTAAACATTAAAAAATGCCCCCCCCCCCCCCTCTTTAGTCTTTACATTGACATGTTTTCCCTAAAAATAATAGCTACAAATGCATCTATGACAAATAAAGATGCATTGGTTAGTAGGGTTAAGGAGCAAGGGGTGGAAAAAATCGATGAACTCTACAGCCTTATGATGTCAATGATAAGGTAACTCTAGCATTTATCACCACTCCAAATGTGGATTTGATAAAAGAAACACTATGCCCATTTGGTGCAAACTGACTAAAAGGTAACATTAAGGGTACAAATATGTATTATAAGACTCGACCAATGCTGAATTTTGTTAGAAGTAGCCAAATACCAATATTTCTAGAATCTTTACCAACTGAATTTCCTTGATTTGTGCCATCTATTCAAAGAAACCTCTTATTGTGGGTAACTAGTTTAATGTGAATATCAAGGGTTGCTGTTTTAAACCAAAAAAATAATAAAAAAGTGTGGTTCTTATCAACAATAACGAGGTTGGTTTTGAGTGATGAGTTTTACCGGGACCAATAATACTCGACAATGTCAAAAAAACGTAATCAATTGAACTCTTTGGAGGAGATAGATAGTCCGAGGGAGAAGAAGATCCACTATACCGAAATAGAGGACAAGTATTTGTGCCTCTAAGGTACCAGCTAATGCCATTCCATAAACTTATACACCTGCTCTTATATCCTCACAATGTGTTCTTTCCCACTGCAACAGTGCAACTACCCTTGCCGATCCAATGCTTGCCTTTGTATTCCTTGCCACTGTAGGATTTTGTTCCATATGGAAGCAGATATCTCACACTTATCTTCACTACACCAAAAACATATCAAATTAGCCACCATACCCCAAAGAACTATTTTTACTCTTGTATATAATTTGCCATAAGCTACCAGCCTAAAGATGAATATCCACCTTGGAAAGTCATGATTGTTACGTACTAATCTTTTCCTAGGCACCTTGAGGAAATCCCTGTCAGCTTTAGATGCATCTTCTTTTATGGAGAAAGCTTGCATCTGCAATAGATCACTGACCAAGTAACCAACATCTTCAAAGTGTTTCATGGCCTTTATGATATCTTTTGCACCATCAACGAAGCCTGCTTAGTATTAATTTAGTCATGCCATCCTACCTGTCCCGTATTATATATGAACCTGAACTCATAAGTTTGTCCTTTGTACACAGGTTACACAATAGTTTGCATATTGCTGCTCTATATCAAGTTAGGATGTCAAGAATATTTAAGCCACCAGCTGATTCTTGGATCACAGGATTTGTCCCAAGCTAAAAAAGCAGATACTGCAGAACATCCCGTATATAAGAACCTCCTGCATACTGCTTTAATTTGTTGAATAACTTCTTAGGTAAAATAAAGATCTGAGGCCAAAATCTTTGTATTGAGAACAAAACACTACTGATCAGTCTTTCTCAAAAAAAAAAAACACTTCTAATCAGTTATACTATGGCTTCATAAAACATGAACTTCACACTGTTCATCTTGTAATTCCACACACTCATTTCTCTGAAATATTGGAGCTAATTATAACTGTCCTTTTAATGGTTTCTGGAATCCTAGATGTGATGTCAGCTACCATGATCTTACAAATTTCCTTCTTGCTCAAGGCATATGGAAATATTTCAGTTGAGGAAAATGTTGATGCTTTACAGAACACTGATTTTGTTTTCACATTTCACATACTTCTGTAGTAGTAAGTGTGTAATACAAAACACATTGATATATATATTTTCTTGGGTGGCAATGAGGATAGGGGTAGCAAGGGTCTTGTAGGGGATAACTGTGACTTTCGTGGCTATTGTTATACCTGTTTCTTGTTTCATCCTTCATTGTTTGGTCTTGCAGCAAGGCCTTGGAAAGAGCCAGTAAGAACAAGCCGATTATAGATGCCATTGGGGAGCCCATTGTTAGAGGTCCTTGGTATAATGCATCACTAGCAGTAGCTCACCAAAGGCAATCTGTATCATGTACATTTCCTGTCTCTGGACCCCAAGGCACCGGAATTTTTCAGCTGAAGGCAGTTCGTAATGGAGGTTGGTTCTGTTCCTTATATACTACTTTGAGCAGACATTCTCCATCTTGTTTTTTGTTTCAGAAATACGTTCTGAAATTTGGACATCCTTTATTCTACTTTTTCAATCCCTGATATATCGATTGTGAATATTTAAGCTGTAGTTGTTAGTCATGGTGGTGATAAGTTCAAAATGCTCCTGCAAAGATCCAAATCAATGCCATTATCAACAGAGAAATCTATTGAGTAAAGCAGTTACTCCCTCCGTTTCAATTTGTTTGTTTTACTTAATATTTTAGGTCATTTAAAAAAGAATGTCTTTTTTCATTTTTGATTTCAACTTTCCATGTGGCATTTTTAAGACCACAACATTAAAGGACATTTTGATACATCCTACGTATCTTTTGTTTAAGATCACAAGATTCAAAAACCTTCTTTACTTCTTAAATTTCGTAAGTCAAAACCAGGGAGTATATTTTTACTGTCGTCTTTCTTTTACTTGTAACAAAAAACAGTGTCTTTAGATTGTTTAGCTTTCCATTAAGAAATGAGGATACTGGAATGTGACTAGCTATTTCTTAATAATGAGGATGTTCCAGGAAGTGGTGTTTTTTTTTTTTCCCCTATGAATTGTTGTCTAACTTCATTCAAAAACGACACTTGAACTTATATAGAATCCAATTCAAAAATCATTTATATTTTTGATCATTTCTTAGATTTGGTTGAATTGTATAGAATCCATTTCTAATTTTAAAGCGAACAATGACCTTAACTCATTAGCTCAACTTTACTGTAGAGAAAAGATTAAAAGAGAAAACTGGTTTATTGTCTGCATAAACATGTTCATAATTGTCTCAACATACTTGTTCTACATATTTAACTAGTACTGCTGTTTAATATTTGGAGCAGAGGACAAATGGTCATCATTTTTACGGGCAAGCGACTGGGAGATACTCATTATGGAAGCTCTCGTCCATGTCCCGGGGAATGAAGAGAAGCAGCAAACTTTTCGGATTAAGGTTTCAGATGACCTACCTCCACCAGCTAGTAATGCATGCACGGATTGCATACCTCAGGAACCATCTGGTAATGTGGATAAGAAATGACCAAGATTCGTTCTGCCATGGCTCCGAGGGGATTTTTTCTTTCTCCATACAAATCATTCACATCATAAGAGGTTTGTATTTAGGACCCTTTGAAATTTTCCAGTTCCAAGGTACCAAATCTATATATTTCCACACTAGATCGTGTAATTGGTGATTCTTTTAAATGTTGAAGCTATGTTATTGTCAAAGTCGGAGAGGAAGAAGAACGCCATCATAGAGGGATCAACGTGTAAACTTGATCTGTATTTGATTTACTGGAATAAGTTCATCATCAAAGTGTAGATTTTGGCAAGAAAAGGCAAACGTTTCTGTGGATTTTACCCATACAATAAATGGTTTCAATGTTGTTCACTTGAAGATGAGAAAAGTTCATTTGCAAAATGTACAAGTACCCCCCTCAACTATACGTGAAATCCCAACGATACACTTTAACTATACATGAGTCCTATTACCCCCCTTGAATTATTTTTAAGTGTAATAAACGCATCCTTAACACAACCTAAAACCTATATAACCACTCACATGATAGGAGGTGTTTTACACTCACCTCCAAGTTATCATTATGTCAGTGCCACGTCAATAAATGATCAGATCTATAATTTTTTTTATAAAATTTCATGTCATTTGATTCCTTCTTCTTCATTATCAACATCCACTTCATAACCACTAAACCCACTTATTTTAACCATTAAAACTTTTAACAATCACCATGAAAATTATAACCCACCGCAAAATTTATCCCTTCACTACCACTGAATTCAATATCTACTATCAGTTTTATTTTTCTTTCAATCCAAATAAATTTCATAAAACATGGTCCAAAATCTCCATTGAAGAAACTATCTAAGTTTTGAACTCTAGTTCGAGAAGAATTCAAAATTGGGGAGTGGGAATGGAGGTTGGGTTGGGGTACAGGTGGGATGTAATATTGTTGGAGAACTGAAGCAGGAGGGGGGGGGGGGGAGGCAGGAGTGGGGGTGTGGACGGGGTGGGGTGAGGGTTGGGGGTAGGGGTATGACATGGATAATTGAGGAGGGGATGATAGTTAAATTATTTATTTATAATTTTTTTTTAAAAAAACTCTAATTTAAATTATGATCTATGTTGCCTAAATTAAATTTCTAATAAGCAATTTTTTTCTCATTAGCAGATTTCAAGTAATGTATTTGAGTAAAAAATAAAAAAGAAAAAAAATTCTCTCGATACTATACAAATTAATGAAAAACACTAAAAAGAATTCTTTTACAATTTAAATATGTTGTGGAAATGATAAAATTTGACTCTATTTCATAAAGAAAAAAAGAAATTTAATTAAAAAAAATATCAATTTAAGTTTTAAAGTTAATTAACTATCTCTACTAATTAATTATAAAAAATGTCCAATTAAAAATGAACACGTGTCCATATTAATCAGATTTTAATACATTTTTCTGTATCTCACATGCCTCTAAGAGTGAACACACTTTCTGTGCCACCTCAGCACGAAAGGGTGCGTTTATTACACTTTAAAATAATTCAGGGGGGTAATAGGTCTCATGTATAGTTAAAGTGTGTCGTTGGGATTTCGCGTATAGTTGAGGGGGGTACTTGTGCATTTTCCCTTTTTTTTTTGCTTTGATTTAAAAGTTAATTCTTGATTTATTTATTTATTTTACCCAAGAGAATCAATAGTATTCCTACTTATTACCTTTGAGCGTGACTCGAATGCTCTGTTTATGGTGGAGGTGTTCAACTATTTGAACAAGCCTGAATAATCATATGATTAAAGTAGTTAAATTAAGATAATTTTAAAAATGCTTAATAGTACTCAACTCTAATCTAATTAAAGTGTCTTACTTTTCTTTTTAGTATATTTTTAAAAAGATGTCACTTTTAAATCCACATTCAAATAGCATTTTGGTTTCAAACACATTTTTAGCTTAAGACTATGTGATCCAAAAAATCATTATTTTTATTAAATCTTCATGCTTAGTCAAATTAACAAACAAAAACCGAAACAAATGAAGTAGTACGAGGAAATGATATGTTATAATCACTTACAATTTTAAATAGAAGAAACCGATTTATTTTTTTTGATCTCTTATATATTATTTTTAGAACTTTTTTTATGTGTTAAAAGACAATCTCTTATAAAAAAACATGAAGATTAAAATAAATTTATAAAATATCAAAAGGTACTAGGAAATGTTCACATGATATCTTACATCCATAAATAATTTTATGTTGATTCTTGTCACTTTCGAATTAACTTGTCCCTCATCAACTAGTCTGTGTAGTGGTTGAATAGGTCATTAAATAAAAGCTAATTAGGTGTGAAACTCTATTTCTTTGACCAAATTCAAATCAATTTAATTCTAACGTATGAAGTTTTCTAGAAGTGACAAAATGATGTGTTTACGAGCGAATCAATTTCTTGACAACAAGGTTTCATTTAAAGAAAATAAATGATGTTTTACTCGGTATTCTTTGTTTTTATCAAATTCCTATTAATTTAGATTTACATCATGTAAAACTCATTTACAGAAAAATTGCTTTCTACTAACATAATTTGGTTTTTTTTTTTTTTTTGAATTTAAGATTTTGATCAAAGTGGAGAAATTTTGTCATTTCACCATAACCTTTATCGATCAATATTTTGTTATTTTCCGATGTCAATTGTCTTACTTGTGAATGATCAAGTCGGTTGTCTACATAATCAAAGTCAAAATATTTAAGTCACATAATTTCAAGATGAAAAGTGACTTCCCTCAGACAATTTTACTTATCGCCTTGTTAAATAGATAATCCAAAATAACTACTATCATTTTAAAAAAATAAAATTTAATAGAGTATACTTTTTTCATTTTGATCTCAGTAATAATTATTTTTGAAAGTAATTAACATAGAAAATCTAACTGAAGAATACACATATTTCAATATTATAATTACTTAAATTAACTCTTTTTTTTAATTTATGAAAGAAAAATTTAAAAACTTATAAACAAAAAATAACAAAAATCCAGCTTAAAAGCGTGAGATTCCCTGAAAAAAGGTCATATATAATTACATAAAGTACTGGCTGGAATCAGTTGATGTATGATTTGACAATCTGTCAATTGCAAGTAATCTTTTGTTTTTATTTTTACCCTCTATCTCATACTCATTTTAGAGTCCTAATTAATTCAAATTTACGTATTCCTTTTGTTTCATTTTAATTATCGATTTAGCTTTTTCATATTCATTACTTCTCTTGTCAGTTGATCATTATATTATTAAATATAGTTTTTATATTAGTTGGTCACCTTACTAAATTAAGAAAATATTAATTAATTTTTTTAATATTATCTTTGCAATTAATTCTTTTTAAAGTGTTCACATTTATTTGTAAAATTCCTAAAAGATTTTTTAAATGGTGAATTAGTAAACTTATGACATTGATGAAGTATAAGCCCTGGTGAAGGACGAAGGCGGAAAATCAAAAGAAAATAGTATCTCAAAAGGTGGAAACAAGACCATATAAAATTTGATCATCGAGAGGTAATATTCATTCATTAAATTACTTACGATTTCTTAAATACCATGTAAAATAAAAAATGATCCACTAATATGAAAGGGAGGGAATATAAAAAAATAATAAAAACAAAACATAATGTATAAATTTAAGCCTTTTAATTAATAGCGAAATAATTTTATCTATGTCAGTAACAATCATAATTAAATACAAAGAATTAAAAGATGGTTCCCCACTATACCAGTCAACTCACTTATTGTCTTAAAAGACTAGCTAGAATCTCTTTGAATTCTTCCACCACCATTTTTGAATGTCAAATTTCATCAGCCATATAATCACACACAAAGCTTATTCTATAAATTTCTTCGAATAATATTTATTTGTTCTTCGTAGAAGGAAAACAATTGAGATAGATCGATGACGACCGTCTTTGGAATAATGGAGGTTAATCTTGTCAGCGCTAGAGGTCTCAAAAACAACGAATTTTGGGGTATTTATTTTTTTCCTATCTCTTCCTTAAATTTCTTCTTTAGTTTTGTTGACAGAGGTGAATTCACGATTTATAATTTCTGCGTCTTGATCATCTATCATTTTTTCTTATTAGATTTTAATCATCAAATGGAAAAAAAAATCTTGAATTAACCGTTGAATTAAAGAAGAAAACAAGATTCATGTATCAAAAGGGTTAAATATACTTAATTCTATCTGATTTTTGTTTTACTTTTAAAACTAGAAAAAAATAAAAATAAAATAAAATAATATATATATATATATATATATATATATATATATATTTTTACCTCTGTCAGTCAAAAATGGTATATATGAATTTGCGTAACGCCAGTTGTACACATAAAACTTTTTTATTATTGGATGGTATATTTGAATCTTTTTACTTATACATATTACTCGCACAATTACAATTATGTGTATTACTATTTTCTTTTTGAGTATATTGTAGTCACTTTTAATATTGAGTACTATTTAATTTGAATGTCATTTGTAACATGTTTAAGATCACACGATTTAATATTTTTTGACATATACTCAACCAATATTAAATCTAAACTCATAATTTTAATATTATAACGAATTCAATACTAGAAGTCATAAAAAATAAATTCATTAAATTTAAATTTTGAATCCATTCATGCCCTTCACTATTGTTGTCCTTCTTGTTAGATTACTTTCATTATACTTGTGTGCATATGATTTAGTTTTTTTCTTAAAAAAAAAAAATGTATGTGGTGTTGTTAATTTTGTAGGTGGTGGAATAGATCCATATGTTTTGATTCAATATAGAGGTCAAGAACGCAAGAGTTCTACTATTCGAGGTAAATTATATATCTCCATTCTCCTTTTCTATATATTGTTATTAATTAAACATTCAATAACGTAAATATATTTTTAAAGCGAAATTCAGAATTTAAACAGTACGAGTTCAACTAAAAATTATGAATTCAGATCTATTAGTACTATTTTTTACAAATTTAATGAATTTATGTATAAAATGAAGTTTATGTTCCGTATCGAAAATACTGAATTTAAATAAATTCAATGTCGCAAACTCACATAACCATGATATATACCTTGCAATATCAACCGTGAAAGATGGAGATTAAGTACTATTGGACTTTGTAGTTGCCCCACACTTATAGTATGTTTGATTAAGTTTTCGGAAAGTCAATAATATTTATTTTAAAACGTGAAGGTCTTCGATCAAGCTTTTAATTTTAACGACATAACTAATTTTTATGTAATATTTTTTTCACTTATAAAAGCAGGGCAAGGTAGTAAACCAGAATGGAATGAGAAGTTCACATTCAAGATAGAATATCCCTCAGTAGATGGACAATATAAGCT